AAACTATGTAATTATAAAAGGAACGTAATAATAGTACACGGAAACTTAATATTTTGAATTTTAAATCACTAAATATCCATACTGATTTATCTTTGATTTCTCCACAACTCTCTCATTAAGGATATCAATTTTATCAAATGAAAGAGCTTGACAGTAGTATAGAGTATGAAAAAAAATGCCAATCCAATTATGGCTGCCAACAAAATGGTGGATTATTTATTTTTTTCTTCACAACTCCTTCAATATGCGTTTCAAAGGGCTTGACTATTATAATACTGTGCACTATGGAAAATTTAAAACCGTTTAACTTAATTATTTCTTTTAGTTCTTGCTAGTTTTTCGACCAAGATTCGACCCAAATGCAAAAAGTGCCCATTGGACCTCTTTTTTGGTGTCCATTGGACCTTCTTAAAACATTTTATATTCAATGTGCCCATTGGACCTCATTTTTGGTGCCCATTGGACCTCCTTAAAAAAATTATATTCAATGTACCCATTGGACCTCTTTTTAAGTGCCCATTGGACCTTCAAGATTATACCCTACTGCCAGTTGGACCTTATTAACAGTTTTGTTAAGCACAGTACAGTCATGTAGAAAATTGTAGACAAAAATAAAATTAATAGTAGGTATTATAAAGCCACTAACTAAATACTGTATAAGTACTGACTCCAAACAGTAAGTAGTCCAAAATAAATTATAAAGAAATCAGGTTACCTTTTTTCTTCGAATTAACGATATTTCACCGTCCCCGGAGAATAAAAAGATAACTATAAGTATAAAAATGTAAGTTTTCAGGAAAATTAAAATAACTGTTTTGTTGTCTATTGCTCTATAAATACTGGACGCAGACAGATGATAATTTTTAACACATTTGGATTTTTTAGTAAGGCACTCGTTCAATAAGATATAAGAGAGATATTTAGAAAATAAAAAGTGAATCAAAAGTAATCAAAATTTAATTTGTTTAATGTTTATTTTTATTTTATTCGTATTGACAAGGAGCCAAAACCAAATATTGCACTACTGACATGTATTTTTATTCTATGGTTTATAAGGGTGCAAGTGACAATGATAATACTTCAATATCTTTTTATTTTCGTAAATATTGTAAAACCCTTTTTTCTTTAAAGGACATTATATATGTTTGTGCTTTAGGTTTAAAGGAATGATCATTAATTATATTAGTTTTAAATTTAATTACATTAATGATCACTAATGTAAAAAGGTTTCACTCAATAGGGCGATTGTACACTGACCAATAAATACCCTTACAGCGCAACACCAAATCCACAAGACCTTTCAAATCGAACAAAGTTCGATTGATTCAAAGTTCCTTAAAACAGCGTGGATCTAGACAATCTAAGCAACATGACAGTGGATTTTGCAAAGACTTCATCTTTTGATCTAAGACTGAAATTCTGAGGGAGATTGAATGTTTTTATCGGCAGTTATACTCCTCTTAAGCACCTGATGAAAGGAAGGTTATAGATTCCAAGCCCAAGCAATCTCTGCGCTTAAACAAAAGGATGGCGCCGATCTCATATGTGGAAGAGAGAGAGAAATATTGCTGTCTCGTTCCGATTTATGACATATGTTGCAGCTAGAAAATAATCTTATAACCGTAGGCCATTGCTTAGAAAAATTACTCACTTAAGTGTCTTAAATATTTAATTTGGTAATTTATAATGTTTTACAAAAGAAGACTGTTAAGGTTGGTAGTGGGTCTTTCGGCAGACTCCCAAGTTTTTATGAGATGCAGCGCACTTAATTGTGAATCGTTTGACAAAAAACTAGAATTTTATTTTATCCCGGTTTTTTATATTAAAATAACATAAATCTATCTAATAATTGATTTGCAAATGGCAAGTTTATTTGTCTATTTTTTGTTGCCAAGCATCAAATATATTATGTTCAATGTGTAACAAAAGCAGTGATAATAATTCTGATAATAATCCATGACTGGACTGATTGACATTTGCCATAGTGATTGAGTTAACGTTATAAGCCACCACGCATTAAAAATATGACGTTACTAAGATAGGGTGGCCAGCATACTTACAGAATTGTTTAATTATTAAACACGATTTTAAATTAATCGGTAATGAATAAAAAAATCAAAGTATCTATTCGTGTTATAAAACTTTCAAATTATATATATTTCGTTCCTGCCGGAAACCGATTACAGCTTTTGAACTATATCCTTTAGTTAAAGTATGTTTTTATAATAAGCAATTTCTCGTTAATTGTAAAAATATGACATTTTTTTATAAAATGTAATATGAAAATATTACATTGGTATTTTATTTTATGAATATTTAGAATACATAATAATTGTGCTTCAATACTTAATCTGAGTGATATAAAAACTGTATGTATAATTTAGTTAGGATATCTGATAAAAAACATTTCTATTTAAAAGCAAAATAACAAAATCTATGATTTGATTATTATATTATATGGTTTGTTGCTGATGATTGATGTTTCGAATTTTATAAATATGTTCATTTTAAATACTTACATTTATAACCTTTGCGCTTTTATTTATTTTATCAATATTGAGAATATATAATAATTGTGCTTAATCTGTGTGATATAACAAACCATATTTATAATTTAGTTAAGCTATTTAGTAAAAAAATAATTTCTATTGGCTTTAAAAGTAAAGTAAAAAATCTGTGATTTGATTATTGTATTTTATGTAAATATTTATATTGGTTTGTTACTGATGATTAGTGTTTTGAATTTTATAAATATGTTGATTAAATACTTAGATTTTAACCTTTGTGTTTTTATGTCTTTTACAATTTTACTTTACTACACAACTGTACTTTACCGTTCCAAAAGAATTAGCCAAATAGTTAAGAGCTCCAATAGCTCCCATTGTGTCGTTAAGTACGTCTTTGAGGGTCTAATGGGCACCATGTTCTTGATAGGAGGTCGAACGGGCACTTTTTTGTAGGTAAGGTCCAATTAGGAGGGTCCAATGGGTACTAGACCGTTTTTTCCACAATAGGACATATGCATGATCTTTTTATGATTTTATTTCAAACTCAAACTCATTTATTCAGTCTAGGCTGTTACAAGCTCTTGTGAAAGTCAAACGCTACGCCATCGGTTCGTAAATCTACGCCGGGAGACCTTGTACTGAGAAGAACCGGCAAGAAACTCAGCAAGGGCTATTTTTTTCTCCCTGTTTTGTTTCAAACAGTGTCGTCAATTGAAAGATGACATCAAAAATTGAAAACATGTGTTGATGTCAACTTCCATCACATTAATATTATTAATTAACAAAAGTTAAGTAAAGCTAGGTACTACTTTTAAATTTAGAATTTAGTAGTTTACATCCCCTTTATGCCACTTTGCACGGGCAGTTTAAAAGCGCGCTATTTTGGAACGCTTGGATGTGGCGTCACGATTCATTAGACCTACAAACAAGAGTAATGAACTTACAAGATGCTGACATTTTTCCTTCACTGCGGATGTATCTTCATCATCATCAGCCTATTATTGTCCCCACTGCTGGGGCACAGGACTTCCCTATGGATGGAATAGGGAGATTGGGCCATGACCCACCACGCGGGCTCAGTGCGGATTGGCGGGTACTAACGCTGCAGATGCAACCGGGACCAACGGCTTAACGTGCCTTCCGAATCACGGAGGAACTCGAGATAGAAATTTTTGGTCCATCCAACGACCGACCACTGCGAAAGTTGCTTAACTTCAACGATCGCAGCTGAACGCGCTTACCACCTGCGCCATCGAGCTCCTCATCGAGGATGTATCTTGGAAGCTATCAAAAAGACATTATGTTTCATAAATTTTTGGTAATATATTTAATAATACTGAAGTATATTATGTATAATGACATACTGAAGAGTTGTACTCGGTGTCTAGATGGAACGCGGCTTTGACATCTACGCACTCGCATTATAATCTCGTTGACCTTGTCATAATCGTGTATATCACATTTGTTTGTTGTTAAGGTATATTTTTACGTCCCAATCGCTCACGTCGCGTTTGTAAAATCTGAATTTCCCACAAGTTTTTCGCACAATTATAGGTATTATTAATTTCTTGCTCTAAAAGAAATTTTATTAACAAATATTGATGGAGGAAGAATTTAGGAAAAGACTATAAAAAAAATGAAATAAGGCTAATTTGAATTACACGCATATTGAAACAGAAACTTCGATATTTAAAATTACTTTAGCCAATAGTATAATGCGATTCAACTAAGAATAGGACCGACTGGACCCATATTGTGATATCTTAGCTGTCAATTAAAACCAAATAGGTAGAGTGAGCAAAAAAAAAGTTTTTATTTAATAAAACTTATTTACTAAGATTAAGTGAAAAAAGCGTTTTTTTTTAATAACATTTATTTACTAAGATTGAGAAAACAAAAACCACCGATTTTTAATAATATTTATTAAGACTGTGAGAAAAAACATTAATCAGAATCTAGCTCTTCTATTCTGCTCATCTCTGCATTACCCCCGGAGTAGTTATGAATAATCATGCACTATTACTAGGTCTCATACGAACATGCATCCTTTAAGTAAACGAAAGTTTGAAATCGAGTTTCTGAACGCAACTTAAAGTGAGATTTGGTTGACGATTAAGGTTATCAACCATTCATGGCCAAAGCTCAATACTTAAGTGAAAAAAAATATTAACCGATATTAATTATCAATATTTGTTATTGTTTGTTTACAAATGTTTGGTTTTTATTCTTGAATTAGCGGAGTGCTAAAAAAGGGTTCCAAGTTTTTTTTGCAAGCCGTACTTTTCAAGCGACATTTGACAGATAGAGGTCATTGGCTTTCCTATTCTTATTTGAATCGCATTATAATAAAGTTATCTTCTTTATCAGAGATTTTATTGAAACATAATTATTGTGTTAATTATGCCATTTTGTATGTTTTTTTATTGAGTTATACTTTTCAACTGATTAATAAGATTGGTCCAAGAATAAAAAAAATAAATGTGCTTGTTCTAGATTACGGTGTTCAGGATTCAGGAGAGGGCGGAAGGAGGCGAGGTGCAAGAGCTGGACCAGGTGATCCTGACGGCATTGTTCAGGGCGCAACACCTGTCTCCCAGCGAACAGCTGTCACTGGCACTTACCTGGAACCGAGTGGACATAGCCAGGTCCGAGATCTTTGTCTACGGGCAAGAATGGCCGCCGGGTAAGCTTACTCCTTTAAATTTATTGCGCTCTTCTTTAAATAAATTATGAGCTGGATCAAGTGATGTCCTGACTGCATTGTTAGGGGCGCAACACTTATACCCCAGTCAGCAGCTGTTGCTAGCGCCTGGAACTGAGTGGATAGCTAGCTAGGTCCGAGATCTTCGTCTACGGGCAAGAATGGTCGCCGGGTAAAATACCTTATAAATGTAGTTCACTGTGCCTTAGGGGCTGGAACTGGTAATCTTTACGGCATTGTTCAACACCTTCTCTTCAGCGTGGAACTGCCGCTGGCGCTCACCTTAAACTGAGTGGGCATTACCAAATCTGATATGTTCAACTACGGACAAAAATGATGAGTTTTTTATATTTCCAAAGTAGAACGATCAAAGCAACTCAAAATAATTAAAAAACAAGTCTGCTTATGACTACACGACTGAAGTGAAACTTCTTTAGCTCCATCTGTATGTATTTAAATATATTTAAGTGTGTACAATATGTACATGTATATGCATATACATATTTCATTTACTAGCCATAAGAAAAGAGAAAAAGAAAATGTGCGCACGCACTGCTTTCTCTTGCTTATATTATATATCCCGCAATCAACACACATACTTTTCGTAACGCGTAACGCATTCGCCAGCTTACCCCCCAAGTCAAGCTTGCCTAAAGAAGTTTCAGTTCAAAAGCAATTCAATACTATATTGCACATTGCAAACCTAATACGTTGATACGTCAGATCAGTGCAAGTAAGTGTCGCTGCACACGGGCCACCCACCGACCACAACCACAAAACGCCGCTACCGGCATATTTCTTGTAGTTTTCATACATTTTATATGGACTCGCCACACACGGTACGCTGGTGGGCGTCACACGCTACAAATCGTCGTTGCTTGCTTCTTGTGGCCCGCACCGGCCACTTAATGCGACGATACAAAACGCCGCCACACGTCACTCGCGCGATTCCCCACCCCTCTCTCCCTTACCTTAGTCGGCCGCTGTCGCGCTCTTCAGTCACTTTAGTAGCCGTTTCTAGCTTCTCGTGGCGGCGTTTGTGGCTTTGGCGTGTAGCCCGTGTGCGGCGACAATAAGACCTTTTTGCAATAAAAATTACTTCAGTAAAATGAATGGAAAGTCTTTTGCAGTTTTCATCAGAAATGATGTAGCTATGTATTTAATATATATAAAATGCCCTATTAATGCGAATTCGGGAAACCCTCTGCGGCGCAGACTAATATTGCCAAATAATTTTGTATTGCTTTAGGGCTCCATTAAAAGTAAAAAAAACTTCTCTCAATCTTCATATTCGAAATTACGTACGTAAGTACGTAATCTTAAAATAATAGGGATCTAAGGACGACGCTATTATTTATTAAGTTAAAATTTATTTCGTATGATAAAAATTATTGACTAAGTATTCTCCTTTCTGCACAGCCGGAATAAAAATGTATAATTTCTTATTGAAATGTGACCGTTATTATTTTGCACGTAAATTCATCTTTGTTACATAACCAGCGTTAGTTCAACAGGTCACCGATGGAAATATTGCCCGACCACCGCTCCGGGTTGTTTGATTAACCAAAGTGTTGGATTGCATCATACGATAATTTATCGATAGACATATGTTACGTTTTACTTGTCATTCGAGGAACTGACTGCGGAACTGCAAAGCAAACTGACGATAATCTGAATCATCGGTTAGGTCACTAAAACTTTGTAAGCGTGGGTTTCTCCTCCTTCAGAAACTACGTAATCTTTCTGAGAAATTACGAATCTTCCTTTTCTTTATTCGTTGTATTTATGTGATTATGTATAAACCTCTCATTAGTAGGTAGTCAAAAAAAGTCAAACATCAATATACAATAAGCCATACTTTTATGTGTTTACAAAATATTAATTAGATATCATCATCAGCCTATTAATGTCCCCACTGCTGGGGCACAGGCCTTCCCTACGAATGGAATAGGGAGATTGGGCCATGACCCACCACGCGGGCCCAGTGCGGATTGGCGGGTGCTAACGACTGCAGATGCAGCCGGGACCAACGGCTTAACGTGCCTTCCGAAGCACGGATTAACTCAAGATAGTAAATTTTTGGTCACCCATCCAATGACCGACCACTGCGAAAGTTCCTTAACTTCAACGATCGCAGCCGAATGCGCTAACCACTTGCGCCATCGAGCTCCTCTAATTAGCTAGCTAATTAGATATAATGGCTTTATACTGCTAGGAGTCGTTCTAGAGGTTAAGATAATAATGAAGAAATAAGACAGTATAATGGTGCAATTACATTTATTCGTTAGCCTGAATACCAATGGAGTTTGGCTAAACGACTAATGGCTCAATTACATTTGGTAGGTAGCCTGTATGTATGTGGGTGAACGAAGTACTTCAAATTCGCATTCGGGCACCCGAATGTGTATAAATTAACGGAGTCGAGTACGCCCGTATTTGAGTAGTTTTCGTTTTGGTTACCCGTTACCGACATCCAGTCCGTATACCAGAGCAAATATTGTTTCGGGTGCCCGAATTCGAGTAATGTCTTTCGTGCACCCGAATACGGGCTAACGAACCAGTGTAATTGAACCATTAGGAACCTTCTTTTATCGATATTACAGTGCATATTACATCACTATGTCAGTTTGTATGCCAATAGCAAACACACACGGACTCCGGAACAGTGGTGTTATCGCCTGCTCCACACGGGGCCTTTACATTAATAAATAAATGTTATGACTAGTGAACAACCAATATGCGCCTTAGGTCAAAGGCGTAAAGCACAATATCGCACCGGTTGTTTGTGGGATAATTTTTGAAGATTTATTTGTAAAAAAAAACAGTAAAATTGTGATGCCTGAGCGAGAATATAAGAAAACATAATTAGAGCTCTTGTCCAGATTCCAAAAGAAGCAGTTTCTATTTATGGTCCAAATTTTTTTGCAGTTTACCGAACTGGAAAAGAAATTGAGATTTGTCTATAACTTACATACCTACGAATAAATTTTTAGGCATGGTTTCTTGATATAAATGCTCCAGAATATCGTCAGTATTTCAGTACATACTGATAATACATATTATTTTTCATACATAAGTAAATAAAATATAAGCAATTCTTAATATAATTTAGAATATTTGATAATTGAGAATATTAAAAATAATCAAAATTTAGAACAATCGCTTAAGGACAACGAAGACGTTAGGACTATATACATTAAACATACAAAAGAACAAGATGCAGCAGACTGCAGCTGCATCTGCATCAAAATTCTAATTGGATTCCATTGAATCGTCTAAAAATTTTCTAAAATCTAATTTCTTTATAGCAGCTTTTTTTTGTTTTGAGATCTGATCTGAAATCTTTCTTATACACCCGGTACATAGTAAGTAAAAGAAATTTATTTAATCAGATAACACCTCTCGAATTTCATGAATAATTTTGTGTGGTGGATAAATAGAAAGTGCTTTTATTCCATTGTCACGAGTTGAATATACGCGGGGGAGTAATCTGCATTTGTTAGAAACCCCTTCACGACGACATGACTATAATAACAAAAGAGGCTGGTTAAGAGATAAAGCTTTATCTGTGTTCCAAACTTACCTGTTTATAGGTCTGGGTTATAATATAGTGATATTGCCAGTGTGATGGTGAGGTACTTTATAACAGAGTTATGTCTACTATTTTGTTGGTTTTTGTTTAATGGACGACCTCCGTGGGAAACTGATACACACAAAAAAATGGAAAACACGATGCAAGTGAAACTTTATTTCGGACGGAGTGTAAATGGAAAAATTCTACGGCAGAGCGTCACGAGCGTCACACGACAATATATATATATATATATATATATATATATATATATATATATGACCCGCGCCAACGCGCCAACCGCGCCAACACAGGCCACAAACACCAACACTACACAGCTAGCATACTTGCACACTAGCTTAGCATTACGCAGACACCGCACCCGTAGGGTAAGAGTGCGAAGACCCGGTCTACACACGACACGCTATACCAGGTACAGGAACGTACCTGGGCGTCACCCCTCCCCCCGGCTAACTAGAGCCGAGGTCCGAGTCTCAGAGGCGCCTTCTAGTTGAGCCTAACCCCTCAGGTTCAAGTGGTCTAGAGGTTCCAGACGGAGAGGAGGATTCCCCCGTGGGGAGATGCTATCCGCCTGAAATACCTCCAGAGGCACTCGTCAATTCTCGGCTTGAAGTCCCCTTAGGATCTCGCCGTCCCCAAACCCGGTGACGCTGTAAGGTCATCTGCGACCAACAGCATACACACTCAAGAAAAACAAGCTACGAGCGCCACATATGACAATTTATATGTGTATCATGGAATATATATACATATATATGTGTGATGCGTGCGCTGCTCCATTCCCCTATGCCTTATGCACCGCCTAATTTTAGGTTATTTAGGAAAAGGAGTTTCACTTCAGACGTGTGGTCCATGTACACTATTTTTTTTAGAGTTTTACATCGCATCAACAGTTTTATACTCAGTTGATGTTGTTGATATAAAAAGTGGAAAAAAGTCCTTAATCGGCTGAGACTCGGACGCGGGTCGCCTGCGGTGCTGGCTGAGAATCGGACCCGGGTCTCCCGCGTGACTGGCTGAGAATCGGATAAGGGCCGCCCGCGTGGCAGACATGCTTTCTACTAATAAACCACCGATGCTTGTTGATAAGATCTAATTTTTAGTAACTATAAAAAAATTAATGCGACACATAAAAAATGAAAAGAAAATAGTAGCGATTTAATAAGAGCTTCATTTTAAGTTACAAATTTACACGCAGTTATATTCGATTGCTGCAACATAAGAACAAATAAGTATTGCTGCAATAAGAGAGAGAGGGCCTATTAGACTTTCCGCTTCATTGAAGTGACCCTCTGATAAAGTAAGCTCTACCTTACAAAAAAACATAGTGAAACAACAGTACCTTAGGGTGGTGTGGTTTTTCTGTCAGTGAGCAAGGTTCCAACAGTTT